CCCCAAAACCCCAAAACCCCAAAACCCCAAAACCCCAAAACCCCACAGAAGAATATAAGGTAATAAATAGTATATCATTTTAATAAAATATGAGTAATTTAGTTAAACTCGAGGAAAATTTATCAGAAGAGTTGTTGAATGAGGATGTCCGAGTCTCAAGAGTCAGCATGTGCCCAAATCTCGATAAAAATATGTCCAGATCACTATTTAAGAGAAAGAATCTTACTACTAAGCTTATCAAAGCTCAATCGTTGTCACCTGATAGTATCTACATTCTAGACCAAACTCCCCAAGAAAACTTATTTCAAAGCAAGCCGATAATGAAACTGAAAAAAGGCCTAACTACTAAGAAAGCAGCATCATTTGGCCCAAAGAAATCTTCAAAACTCCAGAACGATATTAAAACTCTTCTTCATAGAGCTATAAAGATCAGGAATGCTTCCACCCACAATATTCAGAATGGCGAAGGCAGCAAGGAATCTGCACCAGTAATCCCTGCCAAAATGGGTGTCACAATGAGAGATGTCAAGAAGGTCTAAACCTTACACTCAAATTAATTCTTAATTACATTTTAAACTGTTTGAATGAACCTCTGTACTATATTCCCTTACGGACAAATCATTATGTAAGTTGCCATCCTGAATTCATGAAATGTTGAGTGAACTTTCAAAAGGTAAATATCCTATATGGTAATCCATGAATCTCATCATGAATCACTCTTATTGTTATTAAACTTTCTTTTCATTAATTTTGAAGAGGAATTTTGGAGGGATTATAGAGGAATTATAACAGAACTAATTGTATAATAAGAGGCTAAATGATAGACTTTATCGACTAGTTGAGTTTCAGATTAGATGCTGAATTGTAACCCCTTTCTTTTACCTAAAATTTTAATTAACTTAAATAAACTAGTCAACCCCAGATCGTTTCTGCTTAAAAGTTATAAAACAATATGAAATTAGTGCCAGTCCTATAGAGATGGACTTCCAAAACTATTAGTTCAACTATATAAATTTTACGAAGGGTTTTGCAAGATTCAGGAACCTCAACCTTCACAATTCCTCTAAATTTAAAGCTCATACAAAAACCAGTATTTATATTAAAAATTTTCTGCCTAGTATTAGACCTCATGCCTTCCAAATATTTGCAATCGCAAAAATATCCAGAAAAATCTAAACTAGCATAAGATATTCTATCGTTGATCAAACTAAAAATACTAATTTGGTCATCTTCTTAGAGATGTAACCCCACTCAAGACTCAGTGGTAGTCTTAACAATTTTCACAGTTTGCTAGGAAACAGAAACCACTATATGCGCAACCATAAGGCTATAAATGGATAATTGATTTACTGAAATTTAAGAGCAAACAGATATGATAAAGAATCTTTCTTGCTATACGTAAGTCATTAGTGTCTACTGGTAAAAAATTTAGCAAGTTTCAATAGAAATCTATTTGAAAAATTATGAAACCCCCTAACTTTTAAAGCAGAAAATTACGAATCGTTTAGTCATCAAAATATCTTGCTCAATAAAGAAGTTTAACAAAGGGGTTTTGGGGTTTTGGGGTTTTGGGGTTTTGGGG